TAGATTGAATCTCAGTCTTGTCGGTCGTCGAGCCCAATCGGACGTGCATTTATTTTGCACCGTCTAAAGATTTTCACCACACCATGGCAAATACGCGACTGTTCTCGCCCAAGAGGGTTATCACTGTACCCGGACGTGCATTTATTTTGCACTATCTTTCAAGAAAATCAACTACGCCAGTTCACGCCTGGAAAATCCATCAGTACAACACTTTACAATCCTACATGTTACAACATCGGTACAACACTTTACATCTTACAGCATCAGCATACGACATTTCTCACCTAAGAAGTCGATCATATCCTCGTCACGACTCGCAGCAAATGGCCATCTCCATGGAGCAGTTGGGCTTCCATTTATCTGCCGTCTTGAGGTACGAACCAATTCGTATTCAGGAGAGCACGATCTTGAGTTACGGGAAGGTTTGAGCGAAATCATATTCAGGAGAGCACGATTCTGAGTTATGAAGAAGTTCATTTATCCTTTAGTAAAAGAAGGAACAGAATCATATTCAGGAGAGCACGATTCTGAGTTATGAGGAAGTTCAGTTGGCCGTTTTTCAGGAGAGCACGATTCTGAAGAATGAAGAAATTTCAGGAGCCGAATCATATTCAGGAGAGCACGATTCTGAGTTATGAGGAAGTTCGATTATCCAGTTTCATATTCAGGAGAGCACGATTCTGAAGTATGGAAAAATTCATTTACAACCAAATCATATTCAGGAGAGCACGATTCTGAAATATGAGTAAATTCAGTCATCCAGTTTCATATTCAGGAGAGCACGATTCTGAAATATGAGTATATTCAGTCATCCAGTTTCATATTCAGGAGAGCACGATCCTGAAGTATGAGGAAGTTCAGTTTACCCTTTTCATGTTCAGGAGAGCACGATTCTGAAGCATGAAGAAGTTTATTTATCCTTCAGTAAGAGAAGAATCAGAATCGTATTCCAGGCGCCGACCTTAAATGCGAGAAGATTTATTTATCAGATAAGCAGCAGCCTCTTTATTTGAGTGCTTATCCATTCTTTGCACATAAGTCCCTTCCAACAATAAGTGACAGTTCTCCCTCGAGAAGCTTATCAGGGCAATTCCCATCAAAGTCCATTTATTTTGGCATACAGTCGGTCTTTACCCTGTATATTTGCTACGGAGTTCCGAAAAGTCCGTTTGATCCTGTCACGAGGGGTAGTTTACAGAAGCTTGGATGTTATTCCTTGCTCAATGCTCCAGCATTCTGTAATCGATCTTACAATCGTACGTGATCCAGTTTTATTTTTAGATTCCCCAGTGGAGGCCGTCTCATAGGTACCATCTCCATTCGAGGATCTCGTTCCTTTTCTAAAAGTGACAATTGGTCATTCGCACCAGTTGACTATCATTTTTAGAATTCCCCAGTGATGTACTGTGTCTCAGCGCGTCATTTTCCCCAGTGTGTTTCTTCTCGTGGCGTCTGTCTCGGTGTCGTCATGTTACGTCAGCATTTTCGCATTCATTATTCCAGCATACGCATCATATCATAGTCATGGCATCATCTGCATTAAGTCGTTCCAGTTTTGTCCATAGCATTGCATATCGTCGCATATAAGGGCAAAATTTTCGGTTATCTATATTTAAATCTCTCCACCACGATTCCACGAGTCTCTGTCACTCAAATCGTCCGGTGTAGCCATTTAAATAGGGGCAACTGTAATACCCCAAATTTTACCCTTTCTTTTTTATTTTTATTTTAAATTCTTATTAACTTAATAAATTAACCTTTTTTTTAAATCTTGTTTTTTAACTAATAATAATTTAATTAACCTTTTTTATAACTTTACTAATGTTTTTTTATTAACTTTTTTTTTTTTCTATTTAGTTTATTTATTTAAGTCGTTTTAAGCTCTTCTTACTAACTTTTAGGATTTAGATTAAAATTTAACTTTTTTTTCTTTTCTTTAAAGAGTAAATTTTTTATAACCTTTTTTTAAATTAATTTCTAACACATTTTTTAATCAAATTCTAATATTTTTTTTAAAAAATAAAAATCTAACTTCTTTTTAAAATTAAATCTTTTTTCTAATTTTTTTTTAAATCTTTTTCTAACTCCTCTTTAAAGTTAAATCTTTTTCTATCTTTTTTAAAATTAAATCTTTTTTTCTAACTATTTTTAAAGCTAAATCTTGTTTTCTAACTTTAAATCTTTTTTTTCTAACTTTTTAAAATTAAATCTTTTTTTCTAACTTTTTTAAAATTAAATATTTTTTTCTAACCTTTTTAAAACTAAATTTTTTTTTTCTAACTTTTTTAAAATTAAATCTTTTTTTCTCTAACTTCTTTTTAAAATTAAATCTTTTTTTCCTCTAAATTCTTTTTTAAAATTAAATCTTTTTTTTTTTTTTTAACTATTTTAAAAATTAAATCTCACCTTTGTCACTTTTTTTGTTCTTTATTATTTTTACTCTAAATTTTTCTATCTTTCATTAAAAAAATAACAAAAATAGTTTTTTATTATTATTTAATTATTATTTTCGTATTTTAATTAAATCATTTTTTAAAATATTATTTTTTTCACTTTTTTCTAAATTATTCATAAAAATATCCAAAAAATCATAAAATAAAAAAATATTGAAAAATTTTGTTCCTTTTATAATATTTTTTATTTTAGGAATCAATAGGATTATTAGTTTTTATTTTAAGTTTATTTTAATTATTTTAAATTATTTAAATTTTATTTTTTCTTAACTAATTATTTAGTTTGGGCTTTAAAATGGGCTTTAGGGACATTATTGACAATTTGGTGTTAACCCTAATTTGTTCCCTATATATACATGTGTTGCCTTGTTGGAAAGGAGGAGAGAATGAAAAAAAAACCTAAGAGGGGTCAGAAGGTTTTCTTCAGAAAAGAGGAGAGAGAGGGAGAAACAAAGGAGATCCCCAGAGAAGAAAGGCGGTCGTTCCCACAACTCTTAAGAAGGATTGGAGCTCTCCAGTGTTCCCTTATTCAAACTTTTTTCACATTTACCGAAGCAAACCTCCGCTTCGTAGGTTAAATTACTAAACCTTTTGCCTTTTCATGTTTATGTGCATATTTTGCCATGTTAATGTGTTTAGGTCCGTTAAATTACTAAATCCTTTGCATTTTTCATATTTATTTGCATCCTTGCCATGTTAACCTTCATTGTTGTTTAGATCCGTAGATTTTGATCTGTATGAACCATGATTGTGTCGTATAGGATTGTTTGCATGTCCATTAATTGTCTGTTTGCATTTGCAATTCTATTGTTATTTTTTTTTTTTATCAAAACCTTTTTCAAAATCAAAGCCTTTTTTTGTTCCCGTAAACATTTTTTTCCCAAAAAAAAAACCTTTTTTTGTTCCCGTAAACATTTTTTTCCCAAAAAAAACCTTTTTTTGTTCCCGTAAACATTTTTTTCCAAAAAAAAGCCTTTTTTTGTTCCCGTAAACATTTTTTTCCAAAAAAAGCCTTTTTTTTGTTCCCGTAAACATTTTTTTCCAAAAAAACCTTTTTGTTCCCAAAAACATTTTTTTTTATATATAATTTAAACTTAACATTTTTTTTAAACTTAAATTTTTTTTAACTAAGTAATTCCATTTTAAAATTAAAACCTTTTTTTATATATATAATTAAAATATTAAAAAAATTAAAACATTTTTTTACATAATTAAAATATTAAAAAATTAAAACCTTTTCGTAAGGAACTCCTTTGCCGTGTCATTTTGTGTACCTTTTATTTTCTTTATTCCTGCATTTCATTTGCATGCTTGAGGTTGAGATGTGCTTGTGGTGGCCACAGCCCCACACTATTTTCCTCCCTCACTTCATTCTAAGTGTTATTACATATTTTCATATTCTTCATGTTTTCAAAAATGTTTCTTTGTTTCTTTATACCCTCTGCCTTTATTACTTTTCATATTTCTGTACCTTAATTATTCCTCCATATAATGATTTGTCATATTTTCACACATTTTTTACAGTTTTATCCTTCCAAAGGATTAGGTCCAGCCTTTTGGCCGCCGAGTCAATAGCCTTACCCCTTTAATGGATCAAACCCTGTTTTCACAAATGCCTCGCCGCAGGCAAGATTACAATTTTACCCCTAGCATTAGGTCAAAGAGCCGCCGCGCTCATTTTAGGGTTTCCCGCCGCGGAATCCCTAACCTAACCCTAATTCACTTAACAATTTACAACGTAGATATTGGAGTTTCTACACTCCGCGTAAGCGTGTCCTTAAGACATGTTTATTCCCCTTGAGACCTTGACCACAGTCAAGAAGTCTCTAACCTCCCTTTTGAGGGGAACTACGATTACTCTGATTCCACTCCCGTAAGGATACGTAGGCACAAGATGCGATGTCTTGCCGAGTAAACTTAGAATTAACCCCTTAGGTCTCTTTTCTCACTTGTAATCCTTATGTACATATACCTTAAGAATAATAAAGCAAATAGTAAACATTTGAACAAAAGGTTCCTGTAGAGTACTACAGAAGTTTAGGGTGCTAATACCTTCCCTAAATTTAACCAACCCCCGAACCCTAGATCTTTCCCCGCATTGTGTTTACGATGCAAAATAGGTTTTCCCTCTTTTGACCTTTTCCTTCGGATAAATCAAAGAGCGGTTGTGAATTGAATTGCGATTCAAACTCATTAATAGTTTGTGATCCTATTTCCACCGCAACATTAAAGAACCTCCACGAATGATCAATATTTTATTGAATTATAGATTTTAATTTTTAAAATTAAAAAAAAAAGTGAAGAATCAGAATTTAAAATTTAAAAATAAAAGAACTAAACTCTAAATTTTATAAAATAAAATAAAAAAGACTAAAATCTAAATATTTATATAAAAAAACAAAAACTACAATTAATTAATTTATATATTGAATTTAACTTAATGGCATAATAACCGTGAATATAATTATTGAAACCCTCGGGTAGCCAAAACCGCCCCCTCTCTCTAAGCAGCTGTGGAGTTCGAGTTAGAGTCGTAAGACATCAACCATGGTGAGTTTCTTTTCCAAACTCTAATCACTTTTCGATATATGCATCTTTCTTCATACACCACAACAAAAAAACCTAACTTTTTTCTTTTTTAATCAGTCTGGAAGGAAGGAAACTGTTCTGGACTTGGCAAAATTCGTTGATAAAGGAGTTCAAGTCAAGCTTACTGGCGGTAGACAAGGTAAATCTACTCTTCTTGAGTTGAATTGTGTTTGCTGGGTTTTATTTATTTGTTGTCTATTGTTCAATGATATTGAATGTTTGTGTGGAATGCGGTTCATGTGTTGATTTGCTTTTAATGCAAATGAAAATCTAGAATGGGGTGAGTTTTCATACATATGCGAAGTTGTTGGTACTCTTGTGTGTGTTAACTGTGTTCTATGCAGTTTCTGTTCCGAAATTTTTGGGCGAGTTTTCAGATTGTAAGGATGTCACTTTCCTATTGAATTCAATTTTTGATGGGGAATTCTTGGCAGTATGAGTGTGTACGCATTGAACAATTCATTGCTGCAGTTTGCCGGAGGAGCCTAATGCTTAGCATTTCTTTTTTCTTAAAATTTTTCTGTTGTATGGATCAGTTGCCCTATTTGGATTGGCTTCTAGCTTATGAGGGCTTCTCAATTTAGGGAAAAAATTATTATAATTTTTTATAGGTGTTTACGGAGAATTTATATGAGTGATCTTCTAAAACAGATGAGCAAGAGAAAATAGTTTCAATTTGTTTAAGGAGTTTTTAGAAGATTCATAGTCATTGCTTGACTGTTTCAACTTTTCCTTTTATTCAAGTTACAGCGGATGGAGAGAATTTTCCTTGGAGTACTCACCAATTGCCTATCTTACTCTCAGTGCCCTCCTCTTTTTATATTATGACCTTGATTCTCAATCATGATCCTCCAATCCCCTAGTGCCACCTGGACATTCTGTTAACCATGCTTCTTGCTCACCTTCCTCCACTTCTTTCACTGCCAGCTGTCCTCCTTGCTCATGTGCACCCTTTCCCATTTTCCCCGTTTTATCCCTTCTTTTATAAACATGTTTAAACGGTTTATCAGAAGTGTTATGAAATTTGTGGTTGGGCCTAACTCATCTCCGCAAAACCGGCTTGTAGGGTGAAGATTGCCCCCACTTATAAACATATGTGTTCAAACCTTATATTGTCCGATGTGAGACTCTTAACCAGAAGTATATCTAAACTTACTCCATGTTTATGGCTTCTCTTTTGTGTTCATGTGATGGTTCTTTTTTGTAATCTGATATATTGTCTTGTCCATTATTAATTTCTCTCTTTCATATTTTGTTTCATGTCAGTGAGAAAAAGTTAGTAAGCTCTAATATATTTTCTTATTATATTTTGTTAGGAAACTAGTTGTCAAGTTTGGATAGGAATTAGGAATTATGAACTGAAAGTAGAACATAGACCAATAAAGCAGCACTTCAAGGACTTGTAAGTTGCAACCTCCCCACTACTCAAATCACTCGTTACATGCCTAAACCCAAACCCATTCTTATCCTTCCGACTACATTAAAGCCACTCATCCATAGCAGACTTGCTTGTTTTAGTTCTCTCTTGCTTGCCAATTTAACATTCTGTTGTAATAAATTAACTTTTGTAAATTCTCCCACAGCCCCTATACTTGTTCTTGCTTATGTTTTTCTTCAAAGTGGTTACTTGGGTAATGAGGGGTGTGGTAGTTAAAGTCCCAACTTGATCATAAAATTTCACGGTTTTGAGATTATGCATGCCCTCGGCGATTAAGAGTATATGCAGAATCCTATGTTGGTGGAATCACCCCTGTTAATTGTTGAATCCTATAATCTACAATCTTTGAAATGATGTGATTAAGCTTATGAATGAATTAAAATTTATGTAAGTATTTGAAGTGTGATTTAAGGTTTTAGTTATCATGCTTGTGAGCTCTGCTTCTGAATTTAAATTTACACAAGTATTTTAAGTGATTTAAGGTTTTGTTTGTCTTAGTAATGTTATTTTATATGCATATATATATATGAGTTTTAGAATTTTTGTATAATCGTACAATTAGTGTTTACAATTCCATGATTTGAAATTTTATTTCCTCTTCCAGATTTTGCGTAAAATCTCGATTTTAACTACCTTGATGAGGGGTCTAACATATCATAATTTGTTGAATTGCAGTGACAGGTACTCTGAAAGGATACGACCAGTTACTTAACCTTGTCCTCGATGAAGCTGTCGAGTTTTTGAGAGGTAAATACTTCATAGTACCACCATCTTGTTTTGCATTTTGTAACTCCATAAGATGGTTTCTGAGATTCGAGGGTTAAGGGGGAATTAAGGAAAAATTCATCTAATTCAGGCCAGTGTTATCAAATAGCGGCGCCATGGCCGCTATGGAAGATATACATGGCGGTTTTTAGGCTCACCTTAATGGTAAATATTGGCCGATATTGCGGGTTTTTCTGCCATAATCCGTTATAACTGTGCTGCAAAGTGGTCAGTATGGCAGGATTTTGGCTCTCCGCCATGGATCACCATCCGCCATCGACAACACTGATTCAGGCCAGATGCTGGTGCCTTTTAAAAGAAAAAAGTAGGACTTTTAATTTTAAAAAATGTTTTTAAGAAATTATATCATAATAGACACACTTTCCAAAGAATAGAGGAAAAAACAGGTTTTAGTACTTTTCTCAAAAGCTTGAAAAATCATTTCTGCACAAAAGCTGTTGTAATGTGGTTTTTCCAAAGTCGACATTGTTTGTAGGATACATGATGCACCTTTCTGTATAACTAGATTTCGGAAATAATTTACCCTTGCTAGCGTAAATCCATAAATAGTTTGCATGCTTGCTAAGCTTTCATGTCAATTGGATTGAGCTCGTTCAATTTGATGTACCGCCTCCTCCCCTTTCTATAAGCATCCTTTTGTACTCACAAAAGGGTGATTATAAAAAGCTAAGAAGATAGTAATCTGATAGCGCGTGAGTTATCAGAGTTGTCATGCAATTTTGTAAAGCCTGTACTTATTCTCTCCATGTATTTTATTTTTGTGCTGCAGATGCAGATGATCCTCTGAAAACTACAGACCAAACAAGAAGTCTTGGCTTAATTGTATGCTTCTTTCATTCCTATCTAATCTGTTCTAAAACATAAATTTCTTGAGCATTATATGGTCTGAGTTTTGTTCGGCTTTTATTTTGGGCATATCATTACTCTTGGAACTGAACTGCTTTTGTCCCAATGCAGGTTTGCAGGGGAACTGCTGTGATGCTTGTGTCCCCAACTGATGGTACAGATGAGATTGCAAACCCCTTTATTGAAGCAGATGGGGCCTAGGTGTAAATCTGTCTTTAAAATACAGAATCTGTATGTTTGCTAACCAAGTATTTATCATTTTAGTTCCAAACCATATATATGTTTGGTTTTTTTTATGTCCTATGTATTAACACTTCCTTTTGTTGAAAACATAGCATTTTGTATTTGCTGATTGATTTGAATTGAGTTCAGATGCTTAGATAAAAAAGTGATGTTAATTTTCTTTCAAAACTATGCGCATTTAGTTTATGTGTCCACTTGGCTATTCTGAAAGATAAGATTATTCATTAAAATCTTATTTAACCAAAGTTATTACAAACAAAAGGACGGTTGCATTGAAAATAAAAGTAAATATGTTATGTTTTTTTTTTGTTTTTTTTTTGTCTTAGACTTCTCATTTTAAGGTGAAATGAACTCTAGAATTCGAAATTAAGAATGGGAGGTTAGTAAAGTTTTTTTTTTTTTTTTTTTGAAATTTTGGTATCCGGTGTTGTGATCAACTAATCAAAGAGATCAATCTCACCGTCCACATGCGGGGGTAGAACAAAGTTCTGTATGGACATGACTCAACACATAAATTGTTTGTATCTAATGAGATTCAAATATGATGACTCAACACATGAATTGTTTGTATCTAATGAGATTCAAATATGTGACCTTTAGAGGAGTACACTGTCAAGACCCAAACCTTCCCACTAGTTGATTAAATGTTATTTTGGCTCAGATTAAAAACACATGTAATCTCAATCGATTCAACCTTAATTAAAATTAATTAACCATTTGATTAAGAATAAACATAATTGTAACGACATGCCAGACAGGGATTGCATATCAACCTTTTTTCCTTTTCCATCTTTCATCAATTTTCAAATCAAAGCACTGAATCAACCATAGCAACAATTGCAGTGTTCATCAAGCTAAATACTAGAGTTGTCCTTGAACGCCCTCTCTTTCCTCCTCCAAATAGAACAAAATTGAACATCATTCTTTTGGCACTATTCAGATTATCATGATCATCTTCAGTACTTGAATCATCTTTTTCTTTTAAAAACCTTTCAGGATGAAACTCATTTGGATCTTTCCAAATTTTCGAGTCCTTCATTATAGGATATAAATTGGTTGCTACTGCTATTTTTGTTGGTATATCAAATCTATTTAACTTTGCAGTCTTGGTTACATTCTTTTGTTACTGGGCCTTGTGGACAAAGTCCCGGTGTTCTCTATCATCCTTTTGGTAATATATCCATTATCCTTTCGGTGTCGGAAATCTTTGTGTGTGTTATTATCATCCTTTTGGTGATAGATTTATCATACATTTAGTGTAAAAAAAATTTCTGTGTGTTCTCTATCATCCTTTTGGTGATAGATCCGTCATCCTTTTGGTGTTGGGTATTTCTGTGTGTGTTATCTATCATCCTTTTGGTGATAGATCCGTCATCTTTTTGGTGTCGGAAATCAGCGTGTGTTCACTATCATCCTTTTGGTGATAGATCCGTCATCCTTTTGGTGTCAGAAATCATTGGAGATGTGGTTTGTGTATCATCTTTTTGGTGAATGACAACCTATGATACCATTGTGTGCTTACTATTATCCTTTTGGTAATAACAAGTTGTTTTTTGACATCACTTTCACCCTTTTGGTGAAGGGTCATTGTGTGTATACTTACTGTTATCCTTTTGGTAATGGCAAGCCGTGTGAAGTTCTCTATCATCCTTTTGGTGATAGACCCGTCATCCTTTTGGTGCCAGAAATGTGTGTATTCTCTATCATCTTTTTGGTGATAGATTCGTCATCCTTTGGGTGTCGGAAATATGTGTATACTTACTATCATCCTTTTGGTGACAGCAAGTTGTGTGAGTTTGCTATCATCCTTTTGGTGATAAATATGTCATCCTTTTAGTGTCAGAGATCTTTGTGTGTTGATCCAACCATCATCCTTTTGGTGATGGTGATCTTTGTCGTTCTGATTTAACTTTCATCCTTTTGGTGATGGTGTTCGTGGAAGACGTTGAGTCAATTATTATCATTTTGGTGATAACCAGCTTTGTCGATCTCACTGATATCTTTTTGGTATCAACAGTCTTTGCAGCTTTGATCTTATTGTCATCATTTTGGAGTCAGTAATTTCTGTCATTTTGATTTCATCGTCCTTTTGGCGATGACGACCTCTGCAAGTTTTTCAGTGTTCACTCGAGGGTCGACATTGATCTGGCATCTTGCTTCCCAAACATCTTGGTTCTCTTTCTTTCTTTTCAGACAAATTTGGAGTCTTCTTCGTATCTAATTGACTTTTACCTTGAAAGAATGAACACTGTGGCAGTTCATCTTACTAGGTTTAAGCCAATTAGATAGGGGCATCTGTCATACCCCAAATTTGTCCTATGTGTATATTATCCTCATTTGTGTTTTCATTTACTAACCATTATTCAAAAAAATCCAAATATATGTTGCTTCTGCTATCATTGTTCTCATTGCCTAAGTCTAAGTTGTTGCAAGGTTGAATAGGGTTTTCAAGGCAGTTGTGTGTGCAGTATTGATTGAAGTTCAATTGATTTTGACCTAATCTTGGTCAAACAAGTTTGCTTCAGTCTCAAGGTATCAGGCTGTGATGAATTTAGATTGTTTCATGATTGAAGAATCATATGGAATCTGTTCATTTCAATTAGGGTTTTTGGAGCAGTTGTAATGCTGTTCATATTAAGTCATTATCTTCTGATTTCGAGGCATATTGTTGACTGAGCATTTGGGGTTCATGGTGAAAGATTTGTCTTATCAACGCAAGTGGCAAAGTTCAAGATTAATTTGTGATTGATCCATGTCTGACTCGTTTCTCGAGAATTGATTCAAGATTTTAAATTCAAAAGTCCAATATCGATTCATGGTAGCTTTTATTTCTCAAGGACCGAATCAGGGTGTTATTCTTCTCAGGAGAAAATTCGAGAATAGTTTCAAATGTGAATATGGAGTTAATATGGAAATTCAGGTTTTAATCATCATTATTTTTAAATCAAGAATCGAAGAATTCAAGGTATTGCAAAATAAACTCAAGGGTGTAAAAATCAAGTTTCAAGCATCACAATTTAAGGTCCAATTACAAAGTTTTCAGAGTCCATTGTTTATATTTCCAAATTCCACTTACACAAAAATATCAACAAAAAAAATCATTCCACTCACAAATATGTATACTACAAAAAATGAGTTCAAAGTCCATTAAGCCCATTATAAGAAAATTTGCACAAAAAAAGCCCCTATCATTTAAGCTCATAAAAAACCCATAACTCTAAATTACAAAAAAATACATGCCATGAACATGCTACTTGAAGCCAATATTTTCAACTATTTCCATCAGCTTCCAACTATTTCCATCAGTCAAGACACGAGCCAACATATCAAGCATCACACAACAGCCTATACATCCAACACCAACTTGCCAAGCCTTGTACAACATCTCACGCATCATACCAAGCCTTTGTCTAAGTAATAGTTGTCGCTACTGCGAAAATAAGGTGCCGGCAAAACAGAAGAGTCGTCATCTTTCGTTATTTATCCCACAGAAAGGGAAAGGAAACGATAGGAAAAAACCTGACAAAAAGGTATAAGACAAGGTCATCGCAACCATGTCTGAGTTTGGGAGTCGGTTACGCAAGGGGAAGGTATTAACACCCCTCACGTCCGTCGTACTCGATGGGATCCACGCTTGTTGTGTTTATCTGACGAGTTGCTTTTATCTATCTACGCTAAAAGTCTGGTCTGAAAAGAAAAGAAAATGACTCGGCAGAACACAACAGTTCTATGCCTACGTATTCCCGTCTGGAACGAGAAATCAGAGTCAACGTAGTTCGCCTAACTACGGGTAAAAAAAGAGGGGGAAGGTTGCTCGCCAAGATATCGCATCTTGTGCCTACGTACTCTCAACAGGCTTGAGAGATCAGAGTTTACATAGTTCGGGATAAAAAGGGACACAGGCTTGTCTTTTTTATCCGAGTAGGGTTAACAAACAGTTCCAGCAGTTGGTGTATGCAGCTCGACCATTAGGGGCTTAGGCGTTACCGTTTGCGGTAGAACTGGGAGTTAACGACACTCTTTTATCTGAAAATATTTTCCTGATTAAAGGCCCACGGGGCAAAAAGAAGGTTTGATATTTGTTTTCTGTTTTTTACGGATGAAGTGTTTTTTATGAACGTTTGTAGTCCGTACAGCTCTAGAGACTATGACCTGGGAACGAATGCGTCGCATATTGTCCAAAGGACGTATACTAAACACTCTAGACGATTGAGAGGAGACCGCTTAATTATCATTATCCAAGTAACTTAAGGCTCGTAACGCGCTTGTACTAACTTGCCTTTATTACGTTTTTTACTGTTGTTTTGGAGATGAGAAGAGAAAGGACGCACTAAAGGGGAACTAAACTCAAACCCTAGAGTTGTCATGCAAAATTGATCATATGGTTGAGGTTAGGAGGGAGTTACCTAATGCTATCATGCATGGTTAGAACCCTAATGTCTGTCATAACTTCTCTTGAACAAGAGAAGTCAGAGCCCCTAAGGGAACATGGCAATGGCATACAGAAATAGACAAAGCAAATACTGTAAAGAAATAACTGTAAGTAAAATGCATGCAATGCAAGTGAGGGAGGAAATATGTGTGGGGCAGGAGCCTCCACAAGCTCATCTCAACCTCAAGCCAAATATGAATAAATGCAAAGATATGAAGAGAGGGAGAAATGCAACAATACCAGCAGAAGGAGACAAACTCAACTTCTTAACAATCAAGCTAAAAGAAAACAGTCAAAATAGACAAGCAGAGGGAGACAGACTCAACCTCTAATGCAAACACACAGATAAAAAGAAAAACAACATCCAAGCAAGGGGAGGATCACCTCAACCCTTCATGCAAACAAGCAGAGGGAGACCCACTCAACCTCTAAGCAGTCATGCTCCTAGCTTGAAATATTCTAAACATGAACCTATTCTAATGCATCAAGCAATTCAAACAAGGGAGAGGAACTAAAATGAGCAACA